TGTTCAGTTTCCAATCATCAAACTTTGTGGTTATACAGTCACATCGGACTCAGTCTTGGGGGAAAAAATATCAGCTGTTCTTTACAAGCATGTGTAAGGACTCAAGAAGGGTCATTACTCGCATCAAAGAAGTTGATATAAATTAAATTACTAAGCATTTATAGTTTAATGTGCAATAACTGATCACAGTGCTTCCAGATATATTTCACGTGAGTAACATTTAATGTGTAAAAAAAAAAGAAATAACCTCTGTTTTAATGTTTTCCACTCTTTCTTTGATCTAAAAAACTAGTAAAACTGTAGAAATATTAACTGGACAACACATTATCACTGACATAATAAGTGAATCTCTAAATTCACCCCACTCACCAAAGCCCGTAAATGAGGAACATGTGATATTTGCTGCTAGAATGTGAATAAGGCAGTCAGTGTGTAAGTATCGTAACATTTTTGGACTCCTGTCCATAAAGAACAGAGGACAGAGACTGCTCAGAGGAGGGGCAAATGGCTAATTACTGCCTGTAATGTCCTTTCTCTGGCTGAGTAAGGATACTGAATGACAGTCTGGAGCAGAGATGGAGTCTCGGTTGCCTGTTCTGACTGTAAACAATAATAACAGAATCAGTGCTATGGAGAGAAGGGCACTGAAATGACACAGCAGAACAATCTGACTTAGTGTTCCGTCGTGGGCTTCTATCTGATCTGAACAAAACATCAGCTGATCATGCTTTTTGAGATCAAAGGTCAGTCACTGAGAGGCCCTGTGGGATTTAACATGAGACTCCAAGATGTTGATAAATGTTCAAATAAAGAATTTGCTTTTCCCTTGCAACAAGCATAGCGTGATCTTTTGTTATGCTTTAGTTGTGCTGTCCACAAAATTAGTCTGTGGATTCCATTCGCTTGCCAGCAGAGGTGACTGTTCTGTAGCGTTTTGTGTCATCAATCCTTAGGGTTAGGCCTTGACCTGGAAAGTAAACCCCGGTGGTCTGGAGAAGAAGCTTCTGAGTCACAGTCGACATCGTGTTTTGTTCTGAAGAGCCTTTTTTTGTTAGTCCAAGAGGATCTAATTAAAATACACAGAACTGTTAATGTGGCTGCTGTTACAGTCCTTTGTAGAAATGGAAAGCTTTGATAGAGGTTGGATGGTCAGGCAATTCAACTGGACTTGTGTAATAACAGGTGATAGGGTAAAAAATGTTGGAAACCACAGTAGTACCTTTGTGAGGCTTTTTGTGTTGTAGGCACAGCGCTACACATGTGTGTGGTTTTCTTTTCCAATCTTATACTTACTTTATGGAACTGATTGCTTTTGATAAACTTGAAATATGTTATAGGTTAAATAAGCTCTATTTAAACATACATTTTCAGGCCGTTTATTTCTTTGATGTTAGTCTGCACTTATTCAATAGTGCTTGGCCTGTAGTGAGCAGAGTGAGGTGTTGGTGATGGTTCAGGTTTGCTGTAGAAAATTGTTAAAGTTAGTTTTTAATTAAGCTAGCATCATTCTGTGTTGTTCTGTGTTGACAGTTTAGTTTCATAGGTTATGCTTTAGGAACCTTTAAATTCGAAGCTATAGCTGTAACACCATTAGCCATGGGCTAGCTGGGTTACTGACTACCACGCTCAGGCGTATGCAGAGTGCTGCTTTGCTCTGTAAAGACGGAAGATCGCTAAAATGAGCTTCAAGCAGTCTTTCTTATGTTTATCACGAATGAGTCATCTTTTAACATAATGCAAGGCCATGCTCATAAGTAATGGCTGCAACTTCATTAATCGCAGTACTTGAGAAGGTATAGTTACATCATTTACTGCTTTTGTGGCAGTGTATCGCAAATTAAACAAGACACTTAATAAAATAACTAACATTTAAGTTGATTTCCTAAGCTGATAAATTACAGTCAAATAGTAAATACAGTCATATGAGAAATATGACCTATCAGGGCATAATAAAAATAATCAGGTCCTTATCAGGTCTCAAAATTAGGTAAATACAACTTCAGAGGATGTAGAAAACATGACATATTACACTGTCTATATATTTCATAAATTAGGAAATAGTGGTTGAAGAACTAAGTACACCTTCACTCCTTTCAGTGAAGGAGTGAAGAAGGTAAGAAACAGCCAGGTGCTGTAATCAAATGAACCTGAATCACTCAGGTGTATGTTAACACAATGCAAAGAAAAATCAATTGTTGCTACCCATCAGTCTGGAAAGAGTTGGAAGAATATTTCCAAATATTTGAGGTCCATCATTCTACAGTGAGAAAGATTATTCACAAATGCAAGACATTCAAGACAGTCGCCAATCTTCCCAGGAGTAGACATCCAAACAATTCCCCCCCAAGGTCAGTGCACAAAACTCAAGAGCTTCACCTGAGACCATGTTAAAGGTTAAAGTTAATGCCAGTACAATTAGAAAAAGGCTGTACAGGTTCGGCTTGTTTGGAAGTGCTGCCAGGAGAAAGCCTCTTCTCTCTAAAAAGAACACGGCAGTATGACTTCTGAAAGACTAGACTTCTGGAACAATGTCGTTTGGACAGACAAGATCAAAGTGCAGATGTTTGGCCATAATGAATAACACAACATTTGTAGAAAAACAAAGCGTAACAGCACGAACACCTCATACCGACTGTGAAGCATGGTGGTGTAAGGGAGATGATTCGGGCCACATGACTGGGATTTTTTGCAGTCATTGAGCCAACCATGAACAACTCTGTGCACCAAATTATTCTAAAGTGAAATGAGAGGTCATTTGTCTTATAGCTAAAGCTTGGGTGAAACATCATCATGCTACATGACAATGAATCCAAGCACAGCAGAAAACCTACAACAGAAAGGCTGAAAGTTCAAGCTCTCAGTTAATGTAAAATAACCGTGAAGGGTGAAAGATATCAACTGTGGTTGTATTTAAACCATTTTAGAATCTGTTAATGTAAAAGATATCCTGATATGTGAAACCAGAAAGGGGGTCTAGTTTGTTTTTCACACCTTCACAGCATGTAATAAATTATTTAACTTGTGAAAACAGTAAGGCAATCAACTTGCATTAATTCTCTTTTAGTTAGTCAACTTTTTTTGGAGCTGGTTCTTATACTTGCCTAAACAAAAAGCCTAGGCTAATTGGAAAGTCATAGAACAGTAAATAACAGTAAAGGCAACTTATCTGATAATTTGTCATGAAATTTCATGAAAAGACAACACACAGACAACAAGATCGGGAGATCACCCCATTCAGTGGGATAGATCTTTGTACGTAAAACTGTTCAGACGGACTAAAGTGGTAAGCTGATTCCTATAATTACCATTACTGCTGCTACATATTTAAAAAGTTAAACATTGCAAGACAGAAAGAAAACAGTTATGCTGTACAGTTGCAGATTGACCTGGTAAGATAAAAGCATTAAAATGTACCAAAATGTTGCACTTTACAAAATATAAAAAGCTTCCTTGTGAAATGCCGGTAACCACATAAGAGGCATTTGCTCGCCTCCAGCAATTCAAAAATATGTCAGACATCAACGATAAGGAGAGATACTTTCAGAAGGTAAAAAACAAAGCTGTAATAAAGAGCTGTGAGACTTTCTTTACAATTCAAAAGCTGCAAATTTGATTTACAAACAACACAAATCCACTTTCAATCATTTAATAAAAGCTTGGATACAAGACCTTTTTTTTTTTTTTTTCATTTTTTACAGCATGTGGCATGTGTTAAGTTGTATTGGTGGAAAATCCATTTTCTAAAACAACTGCAGTAAGACTGAATAAAACCCCCAAAATCTTAACAAGGCATTTTTCAGACATTCAACATTCACCACAGTTTGGATCGGATAATAACAACAGTGCGCTGGTTTAGGGGGCCAACTGACCAACAATATACTCTTCATCTTCTTTTAATGGAGTTGCCAGAAACACTATCACAAATATAAAGATTTTTTTTTTAATATCTAAAATATTTATATAAATAGAAAGTAATTAAAGATCTGGGCAAAATGACAAAGTGCAAAACAGGAAAAAAGAAAGAAAGAAAAGAAACAGGGAGGGTTTAAAAAAAACAAAACAAACTTTAACAGCAAAGACAATATACAACTGCTCTGAAATCAGCAACCATGAGCCTTGTCTTCATTTTAGCTGCAACAGACCGTAACTTCCCATTTCTATTTCTTCAACCAGTAACTCAGGTTGGCTTCTTTTCCCCAACAAACACTTGATCTTTGATCAGTAGATACATGTGAGAAGGTACTGGGTGAGAAAACCGAAATCTATCCAATGATACCAAGATCTGTAACCAGTAAATAACACCAAAAAAAGAAGTATCGACCATCGCTTTAGCAATGTATGCGTTGATCTGTTATTAAACGTCTGTTGATTTAAACGTGTGAGCACAGCAAAGAAAACTGATGAAAAATTTAAAGATTTGTTTATCTTGTCATAAAAGGGATGTTAGCCATTTAACTGTACACAGCCAGTACCCAGTTAAACCATGTGTATCTACAGCGAAACAAAGCCTACCATGCAGGTTCTATTAAACTGATCTAAACTGGTAGACAATCTCACGCGCTGATGGACAGTCATGGGAAGCACTTTGAGTACTTGGAAAAACGTAACACAAATACAAATGATTATGTACAATTCAATCATCATTAGTGCTTAAACAAAACAACCAATGAGTCCAAAAAGAGTTAGTTTCCACTGAAGCAGTTGGCAAGTACCAGGCGAGTGCATTTCTGAGAGTCACACTGCTAAACAGCAAATTTAAATGCTTTCAGTTATGTTAGCTCTATCGTCAGCAGCAATGAATGAAAGAGGGGGGTACTTCTCTGACATTTTAAAGGTTTATGCCGTTTGTTTTTTGACCCATTACGACATCTGCTGCACTTCAAAGGGGACCTGTTATGCCTTTCTCCATTAGCTGTCAAAGTCTAGTATTAACAAGTAATCTTTGTAAGCCAAAAGTTTGAGCCTTAGACTGATATAATCCATTTTAGACAGTTTTTTTCCTACTTATGCAGTTGGGAAGGGCCACCAATCAAATGAAAACTGGCTCAAAGGGAGGAGCTAAAAGTCAGTATGAGGAAAATCTGAATTATTTTGAATTATTAATGGAAGCAAGCATAGGAGATCCCCTTTGAAATAAGAAAAATCTCTTCACATTTTCTGATCGACTTTTTTGATATCCTCAGTTAAACTTTGTAACACTTGAAACTGTGGCACACAGTGCTATAGAAAACAAAAGCATATAGTTTCCCTTCAAATGTAAGTGTTGTCTTTTTAAATCAGCACTGCTTTTTTACACCTGATGCTGCATCTAATAAAAGACACTGAGGGCTCAAAGGAATGACTACAGAGCTACCGGAGAAGAAACGGTACCTAGCTTGAGCTGGGCAGCTGTGAAGCAAGCGGATACATTTTGACCCAGTTCTGACTCGACATAACACAACAAACCAAGCGTAATCGCACTGAGATGAGGCCGACCGGCCTTGGAAGATAAAGATAGTTTAAAAATATAGCTATAGTTTTGAACACTGGAGGAAGTATGAAAAAGGGTGAACCCACAGGAAATTGGGAAAGTGGTGCCCCTTTATATGAAAATACAAATAAGGGCCTGGTTTCACAAAACAAAACCTAACCAGCCTTTTGTCTTGCAATAGTAAGAAATAATTATGAAATAATTGTGACCTCCGGGCCTATTATCTCCTGACAGGACAAAGGAGGATCTAAACGAGAACACAGTAGAACCAGACTACTTCACTTTCCTTTTAGAGCCTTAAATGCTTGCACAGTACTGCATCTAAAGTGTATACACATAATTTGTAGTATGAGAAACAACATGTGGGATATGGTTCTAAAATTTCAGAGATCAAGATTTCTGTCAGACTACAATAATTATTTAAAACTAATATTAGAAATTTAAAAAGAAAAGAAAAAGGATGTATTGTTTCCTATTGATGACAGTAAACATAGACAGCAGCCATGGCTCAAATTGGTTTGTGTGATTATTAACTAACGATCTAATTATTGAATGTTTTGAGAAACCAGGCCGAGCTCATTATCGTTAATAAACAGAGACAAAGAGACAGGAAAGCTAAAAAATACCCTCTCTCCTACCTCATAATTGGGAAAAGGGGACAATTATGAATAAATACAAAAATAAGAACAGATATGTACACATTTTTAATAATATGAACTATAATAATACTTTCAACATTTCTTCAAAATGACATAGAAATCTTTTTTTTTTTGCTGAAAAAAAATCTCAAACCCTCAAAGGTCAAAAACAAAAACAAAAGAATGATAAATTATTATACAAAAAAAGCGCCATCCAACACCTTAACATTAATAACAATAATTCCATTTTTGGATGCAAGTCCAGGAGTTTCTTGCAATGTTTAAACCAGGACGAAGGGGAAAAAAATACAAAAACATTCTTAAGTTAAATCTGACTTCTTCCTATATTGAAATACAATGCATTGATGTGGCGTTGTTGGTAACACAGATGTCTTCTTCTTCCCTTGTCTGAACAGGTTCTTGTGTGGCACTGCTGGAGATGGCTCTGGAATCAGCGAACAAGGAAGGAAGGTGAACTGAGGGCAGTAAGTGCACTTTGAACACAGGCATGCTGGGATGAGCAGGGAGCATTGGGGGGCAGGGGGACAGTAAATAGAGAAATGGACAAAGTTGTTTGGTACAGAAAGAAAGAGGTTAAAGAAGAGGTAAATGCTGGATAAAACCCAGCTCATCTCTTTTTAAAGCAAAAGGAAAAGAAAAAAAATACAAATAAAAAATAGAGAAACACAAAAAAAGGGGTGGAGCCACTGAGGTGGCATAGCTGAAGTCTGAGTCCTACAGTAGCCGTGTCAGTAGGTCCTTTAAACATCAAACTCCCCCAAAGAAATCACAGTTATCTTTCCACTCAGATTTCTGAAAATAAACTCTGGTTATCCCCCTGCAAAAGTCAACAGTGGTGGTGTCATTAACAGTGCCTTAAAATTCCCTTATCAGGAGGATAAAAGGTTTTTGAAATCCTGTTCTGTAAAGACCACAACGGCGCGGAGCAGCTTTCCATCAAAATGATCCGTACTGAGGGATAAGTGGTGGAAGCCACTGCCAGCCAACTGTGGGCAAAGACTTCAGAGTCCTGCTGTCACAGCAGGTGAACTGAACTGTTTTTGGATAAAACAGATGTGACATGATGAAGCAGTCTGATTGGTGCTGGAACTGGAAGAGCGGTGAGGTCAAAGGTCACAAACGGTGGTGGCCTGAACAGCTGCCCAACATTCTGTCCATTAAACAGGTTTCTGTCAGTGATGCAACTTGGCCTGTGGAGAAAAACGCACACTTGTCAAGTGATTTTAATTTCTTGCCTGTAAAGCAGCAGTTTCACAGCAGATGGAAGTTTAATTTGTAATTTATGAATTTATTTGCACAACACAGTCATTCATTCTTGAGAGCTGATGATGATATCCATTTAATAATAAGCATATATTTAAAAATCACTTATTAGCTTGCAACTTTTGTTCATTAATCAAAATCTGCAACAGTTTATGTTTTAGTAGAGGCGGTGACAGTGGTAGAGGAAAAGTCTAGGATCATCCTCTCAGGACAATGAACCAAAATCCAAGTCTAATGCATCAAAGAGTGACAAACATAGGCGTGACACTCAGATTTACAGAGAACATCACCTAAACTGGTGGGTCTTCCAATTTCTGAAAATAATTAGAATAAACAAAATTTTGACCACGCATACAGAGTATTGAACCACCCCTCATACCTTTTTTACCTTTATTCTTATTATTTTATTTTAGGAAAATGGGAAAGAGGTACAGCAATGAATTGAAATATTTGCAAAACACTTGAATATGTAATGCTGTATATAAGACAAAAAAACAAGTTGTATAATTCTAACAAGGCAGCCCTTCCACTGAGACCATTTCAGATGAGGCTTCAGTGAACAAGAGGTGGATCAACTGAAGAGCCAAATGTCTCCCTGGTCCTGTGTCAGGTCTTTGCTGGGTTTTTGTTTTTCCTGTTTCTTAAGGACATGACTTTCAGACACTGCTCAGCTGTTGTAGAGAGTTTTTAGGCCTGACACTTCTTTTGTGCTTTTGCACAAAACTGCATCTACTGTCATTCAAAAACAAGATGGAACTGAATTTGCTCAGCTGTTATCACTGTAACTTATATCTCTCACTATTTCAAGGACCACCTGATTTTAAGTGGTCACATAACAACTGTGCAAACTTCACCTGCTCATCTATTCACCACTGAATGGTGAAGTATGTCTTTGCTGTTGACCATGGGTCAATGACTGGAGCTTCTTGTAATAAATGCTGAAGGTCTCCTACACACCAGCTCTTAGCTGACTATCAGACTTCCTTGAGAATTCAAAACTCAGCACACTAAAATATATTCCAGGTAGTAGATGACTGCTTACCTGTCTTGGGGATTCAGGCCCTGAAGCTAGTATCCCCCCGCTATCGCTTCCATTCCCAAAGAGGCTATCTAACCCACCCAGTCTGCTCAGCTTGTTGCCCTTTCCTCTGTAGGAGCTGGGACTTCGCCTCTTCCTCCCTTCTGCTCCTCCCCCATAAGCTAAGGGTCCTGTGGGAGGAGCCATTGGTTGGTGGGCAGCTGAGGTTGGTTCCCTGTTAGGTGAGTAGGGTATACTGGTGCTGCCAAGTTCACGACTGGAGAGAAGCAAAAGAAGGAAAACAGTATGTTGTGTCTACATACACAATAAGTATATTCCATGTTATATGAATATACAATATGTTGAACTAAGTCTGCATTCCCTCTGACTACAATCATGACTTGTTATCCTCTAAAAGAGAATTTAATGGCATAACATGTAGGTATAATCAAATATTTTTGGGAAATAAAACATTTACTTCTAAAGTTAAATATCAAAGTACAGTTTTTACAAGTTTTCAAAATTGTGGCCTCTTAATGAAACTTTTTTTTTTTTTTTTTACATTTTACTGGGGACTCACCTGTTTTGCGATATGTGGCTTTGAGGGCCATCAGCTTTAGATAGCCAGCCCTCTGAGCTTCCCCAAAGTTCGCTATCCCCATGACCAAGTCCCTTTTTCTTGGCTGGGGAGGCAGCTGTCCCTCCCGAGCTTTGTAACTGTGAATGAAAGCTCCTGTCGTTCCTTTTGTAATTATCCACAGTGGGAAACAAGGAAGAAGAGGAAAATGAGGAGGAAGAGTAGGACGTTTTTTTTCTCTTCTTAGTTCCCGCTACGGGTTCCTCCACGTCTTTGGATGGACGACTTGCTTTATGCGTGCCGTTACGGGCTTTGCCCTGCGCGAAGACTTGGGTGTGGGGTTGCGGGGAGTCTCGGATGTTAAACACCCCAGCTGTGGATGCAGACTGAGGAAACGTGGCGGTGTACGAGAGGGAGTTGGGGAGGGAGTTGAGCAGACAAGAGGTGGGAGAAGGGGCTTGATGTGAAGGTATGGAAGATGTACCAGATGGGGAGAGGAGGCTCTCAGCAGCCAGAGGCACCTTCCTGAAACATGAAGAAGAGAATCTTACAAAAGAGAAATGTACCAATAAAGTTGTTTTACTGCCAGAATAGCTTGTAGGAGACCTTAAGTAACAATCAATATGCAGTATTTTACTGAACAATGGTTTTCTAAGCTCATTTTAGTGTCTTCCCCTCATTTCATCAGCCTCCTCGGCTATTTTTACTTTACTTCCCACGATTAAAACTCAGAAATTATTTATCTATTGTGATTGTGCAATCATTAACTGCATGCAAACCTGTTCTTTTTTTCCCCTCTATTGTTGCTAGTTTTGATCTTTGATTAAAAACTTACAGGCTTCATGTGTGATTTTTTTTCACCTTCTATTGTTTAAAAAAACAAAACAAAAAAACCTTCCCGTCTAAAAAATTAAACAGAATTTGAATCTGTTTTCCACAGCTGATGAGTTCATCCCTTCCTCTCACATCTTTCCATTAAAACATTACATTTTGCTCATCTTTACCATTTCTCACCCGTACCTATTAACCTTTAAGCAAAATATGGTAGTAGAATAATCAAAGAATACACTCGCCTCCACATCTGGGCGTTGAGGTGTTTCTCCACCATGTTTTGGAGTGCCAGCCTCATCCTGTCCCATCGCCTGTCAAACACATAGTGGCCTCTTCCCATCAGCCTGCTGCTGAATACGCAAAACTGTAAGAGGGAGAAAGAAGACAGCTCAGGTGAGAATGTTATGAAAGAATCATAAAGGAGGCAAGGCGAACGATTCTGAAAAGAAGAAGAGTGGAGGAGTAAAAAGCAGTAAAAGAGGCATCAAATGATGGAACCAAAGAGATAAGCTGTTTTCACACATCAGCTCTGGACAACATCAGGGGAATTAGGTTGGGACACTGCACCAAGTTGTCCTTTCTGATACTGAGCTCAGAGCAGGAGGCAGTCTGGTTCAGATTTGTTCTCAATCCGGGAAATAATTCTTTTGGTTTAGGTGAAGGTGCTAACTGGATACAACGCATTCAAGGCAGGGCGAAGGGCGTGAATTCTGGCCATCAGGTATCATAAAGACTAAAAAAGGTGTTGATTAAAAATAATGTAATTTTAGATAAAATTACATCAGATATTTGTGTTTTCATGTCTACGTAGGTTGGGTAATGTCTCAAAGTGAACTAGACAACAGTCCATATGTAAAAAATGCCATAGATGAAGAAGAACAGATGCCTAAGAGAAAAACAATGTTAAAATATTTTTAGAATTTGAGAAAATAAAAAATATAACTGGAACTTTTAACAGGAAATATACAGTACAGTGTACAATTTTTATGGAGAATGGTAACTTTTAGAACCTCCCATTAATCTAACCGCTCAGGTCAAAACTGACTATGAAGTGAGAGCTCTGACTTGAAGAAGTATAATAATCAAGCATTTCTTTAAATTTAGTAAAATGCAGACTTTAGGAGTAAAAAACATGTCTGCATCAGCTTTCCATATATTTTAATAATATTATGGGCACTTAGTACTCGCCATTTTAAAAGGAACAAAAGCACATGCCTGGCAAACTTCCAATGTCAGCATAACTTCAGCAAATTAATACTCCCTACCAATGAGCCTATACACAACCTGCATGTGCGCCTGTACAAAAACGGTGGTGCAAAAAAATGGCAACACACTTTATTTAAAGGTCTTATTTCTAATCTTTATGCCAGGGGTCTCAAACTTAAATGAGTTGCGGGCTACTGCTGGCACTGTCATCTAATTGGAGAAAACACCCACAAATATTTCCAAAAATGTAGTGGTTTTTTTTTTTGTTTTTTTTAAATTTCAAATATTGTATAACAAGAAAAAACTCAAAATTGTTTTCTTTACAAATAACTCTCTCCCTGAACTAACACAGCCATTCGCTCATCATGTTTGTACTGTCTGCTCATATCGCCTTCATATTAAATAACTTTTTGCTTTTAAAATAACCTATTTCAACACTGCACTCAACAACAAACAAATTCCCTAAACTTCAAGGGCCAAATAACATTATATTTCTTCACGTCAATATATGGGACCCACATAGTGGTGACGTGGGCCGTGAGTTTGAGACCCCTGCTTCACGCTGGCTCATTGCTCTAGCTCTAAGGATAATACAAACTGGGTAAGAGTGTGAGATCAACCATTTAACATAGATCACAATCTCTTTTCCAAAATAGCAAACTTTTCCTTTAACACATACTATTAAGCTACACCTGAGGCTGAACTGGAACAAAAATATTTCCGCTAAATGACATATAAAAGCAGACCCTGCAGGGATAAAATAGGAGATAGGATGACTAAAACTTTTGTGAATTGGTTACTGAACGCCCTGAGGTTATGGAATAAGAAAATGCATGGTAGTGCAGCATTACTGGTTCTTCTATTTTACCCCTAAAGGCTGCGGGTGATGACTGGAGTAGTGAACAGCAGGTCTGTCAGCATCCTCTGGATCTGCATCGCCCTCGTCGCTGGAAAGTCGACTGCTTTCTCCAGCAGCGGTCACCCAGCTGTGGGGAGCTGGTTCTGGGTTAGGGGCCTGGACAGGAGATGCTACCGTGAGCAGAGGACCTGAGGTGGAAGTGGAGGAGCCTCCTGGAACCCTGGGACAAAGGGGTGAATAAAGTAATGAGACAAAGTGGGTTAAGGATTAAAGAACTGGAAACATATGGGACAGAAAAACAAAAATTAAAGAAAAGAGACAGAACAGGAGCCGTGAAAGGGAAATTTAAATGTGAATGCAGAAGACGAAGAGTGTAAACAAAGAAAGAAGGAAAAAGGAAGCAAACTCCAAATAAGTTCATTTTTAAAGAAGGGTTTTGTGCTCTAAATAGAAACAGGATATATGTTTCTCACAACAATTTGACATAGGGTGATTTTTCTGCTTGCTCACTTCTAGCAAACTGTGTCTATAGCATCCCCTGGTGGAAAAGGGTGCATCTGTCTGAAGAAAAAATGCTCAAGTATGCAAGTGAACACAATCTTCTCAAAATGACAAGTAAACGTACTTAAGACTAAAATAAATAAGCCATTATTTCTGTTTAGAAAGCATTCCCTTTCTCTAAAAGAGCAGTTTAACTTCAGTAGCCAAAGTTTAACAACATAAAAATGGCAGAAGTACATAGAAAACTATATAAAGTAGGCATTATAATATACAATGCTCCTGAAACACACTCCTCATTTTTAAAGCTGATTAGATTCCTAAAGCTTTTATTATTTGCATATTTAATACTTTTCACATCCTTTGTACCTTGGTATGTGTGCATTTGCCAGCCGCAGCTTCAATGTGGAGAGAGGTCGTCCATTGGGGCAGTGAGACTTGCTGGGAGACGAGCTCTCTTTAGATATAATACTCTGGCTGGAGCCTTCCTTCCCTCCCTGCGCTCCGTCCTTGTCCTTATCCTTTTCTTTCACTCCATCCTTCTCCTTCGCCCGCCCCTTGTGTTCAGCCAGGAGGATGTCAAAATGTTTCCTTCGGCCAGGGACAGCCCGCCGGTGGGTTAAAGAGTGAGTCTGCAGCAAATGAAGAAGAAAAAAAAAACAATTATTTTATTCTTTTATTCCTCTGACCGTTTAGAAATACTGGGTTATTTCCAGAGAGACTTTGTAAATGAAAATATTGATCTGTGAAGAACAGACTGTACCACAAACACACTTCATTGGGATTGAATGCTGCATTGAGAGAGGCTCAAGACATGACTCTTTGGTTTCATGATAGTTTCCATAACCTCACACTGTATGTGTCTACGTCACACCACACAAACACGGGTAAATATTACCTGTACCTATATACCGTTCCAGGTACTTTGGAAGGTAACCAGCCATCAAACATTTGGTTTTCCAATAGATATTTACCAAACAAGGCAGAGAGGTTGCTTTAGACTGCCAGGCCTGCGTTTGGAAAGAAAAATACTTCCTGCACTTATTCAAAGGGAGCGGCGAAGGTCTGTGCATCTTTAACCACAAGGTCCCAAAGGTTTATGTATCACATTTCTAACTATCCTGACTATTGAATACACATTTGAAAGAAAATAAAACTTTTAAAAACTGAACAAGATGCCAGTGTTTGGCGTGCTAGTTGAAATTATGGTGATATATTAGGGTTTTCTGAAGTTTGAAGTAATGCTGAATTCAGAAAGAAAGGGGAAATCTGAGCACTGACAAGTGTCAAATATAAGTTAATTTTAATTTAAAGATCCACCATGACCACTGCACTTTCCTCCCCCATCTCCACCTCATCCTCTTCCTTGTCACCCAAAGCTTCATCCTGACCTGAAACCAGGACTCTAACATCAGAAAATGTCCATAAACATGCCTATTTATTCCTGATTAGATTATTCCAGATTAGACATGTGACGTTTCTGCCTCCAGATAGCTGACACTGAGCTGCCTGGTTAAAAGCCAATGTCCATCTGATCAACAGTTTGATTACATTCTCACATTGTGTGAGAGTTTATTTGCCAATTGCCTGAGTGTGACAACATTAAAATCCATTTTAACATTATTTTTTTGTAACTCTGACAAGATCACCATCATTGATCTGAAATGAGCTCCAGTGACTCATCAGCCCATACTGGACACATTCACAAATTTTTACAGCCTCGGATGCTTCACAAACAGCACAAAACCATCGATATTAAATTTTACATGTTGTAAATATGTTTGGTGTTTTTTTGGTTTGTTTTGTGGATAGTTTGGCAATCTGCCCTCTAGCTTATCAAGACAAAATGCTATGTGTCTAGCGATGCTGGACATAGTAGACCTGAACAAGATTACTTTGACAGACCACTCCCACATGAAAAAATGGCAACAAATTAGCCTGATACATCTTTAATTACTTAACCAGTTTGCAGTGATTAGTAAAGCTCAGCAGAGGTAATTATAGGGCAGTAAAATAGAGTATTACTTCTTAAGATGTTTTAGCCTCATCCAACATCTATAATTACCTCATCAGGGGAAGTGTAGGCCCTGTAATGCCTGAGCAATGCTACCCCAGCATTAACTGAGAACGGGTGTACACACAAGAGAGGCAGCCAGAGAGCTAGATATGATCATAGCTGTGGTCGGCGTCTTTCAGTAGCGACATTAATGTGCCCTTTAACGCTATTACTCTCAGAAATTGTGGTCAGACAAAGAGCAGGAGGGTCAGACGTTACTATTATCTCCACAGAAAGCACGCAGAGGTTGAGAGTGTGGGTAACCCTGCACTTGTGCGTTTACTTGCATTACCTTGCAGGTGAGAGACCGTGTGCAGGGTCGTTTGGTCTCGGGGTCCTGCACTCCGCAGTGCTTGTTGGGATCAAACACTCTCCCTGCAAAAACAAACACAACACAGAAACACACACTAGAGTCATCTGGTAATTTCTTCCTTCCTTCCTTCGAGTATCAAATCACATTTGATGGGAGTGGGAGCGCTGCAACACCACGAGCAAATCAATTTTCCTCTTCTGAGACAGCAGTTCACTCGCGTCCTCGCTCACATTTGTCTGTTCACATGTTGATTCATGTTCATTTGATCATTCAGTTGTGGTCTGAGGCTACTCTAAGAGCACCAGTCTATGTCACATTATTAGCAGTCCTTCCAGAATCAAACAAAAAAAAAAAAAAACCAAACAAAGGAAGACTCTTCATACTGTGACAAATTATTCTTGACACGACATGCTGTCAGCCTTACAAGAGTCACTAGTGACTGACAGCCGAGCACACTCTCTCCAGCCTTAACGAACTGTATCCAGAGGGGAAAATTTGCACTTGTTAATGATCTCCACCCCTAAAATTTAAGGCCAATTTCTTACCCGAGTCTCCGATGTATGTTGTAGGAATAATATTAAAATGTATATGATGAAATGACTCTAGTAAGAGTGGATGAAATACATATATGTAGTTTGTGAGGGGCTGCCAGTTATGATGAGGACTCAGCTCCTTATCATAACAGCAGTTTCTTCTGGCTTGAGTTTTAACATTTTTAACAGTCTCTGTCTTTGTTTTTTACCCACTTGATGTCCAAAAAGTTAATTATACTAATTTTCTCTCTGGTTTCATTCTTATTATTACAGCCAAAATAGCTGATTTGGCTCCTCACCTTTGAAGTCAACTTTCTCTGACTGGCAGCCCTTCAAAAACAAAAAGCAGTGTGCCTGGGATGACAACATTAGAGACACAACACACACACACACACACACACAAAAAGTACCCGACAAATGATTTTACTTGTTAATGGCATCAATTACACAGATATGCTTAATTGATGAGCGCGTGAGTCTTGAACTGCAAAACAGAATTTTATTTTTGGAATTAATAAATTTAAATCAGCCTTTCAATTAGTGTTCTATTATTTGTCAACTTGAAATGTCAAACCTAACTATTTAAGTTGGGTTTGACATTTAGAAAGAAAAAAAAGACAGAAAAAGCAGTTAGTTCTCTACTCGGCCTACATTTGCAGACAGACAGACCTTTCTTCCTCCACACAGACTTGCAAATAAACAGCAGCCTCCAGTCAGCAGGTTATCTTGAACAGTGTTACTATCACAGGGCTGTAATCTTGTGCTGGCCTTTCCTATAATCCCTGTAATCGTTCTGTGTTTGCAGTATGAGACAGCAGCTCCAGTGGATATATCCAGAGCAACAAACACGCACTCAGACATAAACAAACTCACATGCACGCTCCCTCAGTTCTTACAAACTTGATAAAAAGAAGTGAGAGAGAGAGAGAGAGAGAAAGCGAGACAGAGAAAGGAAGATGATCGCTGTGAACAGAACCTGAGCAAGACAAACCAAACAACACCAAAAGCAGAAGGTCAAGAAGAGCAAGAAACAAGACGAGTGACGTGCAGAGAGAAAAAGATGCAGCCGGGAGCCTGCGAAATAAAAATTAGGATAGAGCATGAGCTTGTGAAAGAGAGAGAGCAGGAAACAAGGAGGTTGAGAGGCAGGCGGTGTAGAGTGAGAGGATGGAAAAAAAAAAAAATGTAGACACACAGGAGGTGGGGAAAATCTCTCAAGAAGACAAGCAGCTTTTTGGCAGTAAGAGCTCGTGAATTAGAGGGTGTAAATCAGAGGCTCAGAGCATAGAGGCACTCGGTGCAAACTGAGAGAAAGACTAGTGACAGGAAAAGATGAAGAGAAGGAAAAGCAGCATAGAGAGATGCGACACAAAAAAAAACAACCCAAACCCTGAAATATCAATAGGAAATCTTTAACTTTACAGCCACATGTGTTTTCACCCCTTCTTATACAGAATGATCCAGTCAGTTAACTTGCGCATAAATGTGAATATGAAAGTAAAAAAGTTTGGGAGTGAGAATTAGTAAGAAAGCTGAGATCGGCAGGCAAGCAGTGAATAACAAGAAAGGAAAAAATAAAGGAGAGAGAAATCCATTAAATGTAGGGAGGTGTCTGACCAATTCCGAAGCTCACAGTTTCACGCGCTGCTGACCAGTGTGCCGCTAAACACTCAGGCTGGAAGCTGTCAAAAGAATACTGAGGAAAAAGTGCACGAGCTTATCTGGGTGCAAGTGTGCGGTAATGTAGGAATTCTAATGTAAAGCTCAGTAGGAATTAAATGGGCAAAGGCTGAATTATGTAACTCTTGCAGCACAGGAATGTCAATCGTCTAAAGCGTCAAGAATCAGTTTCTTGAGCTGCAGGCTGATGGACTGAAATCCTAAATCAACCATAAAAAAGGCAGGAAGGAAAATGACTCAATATGTCACAGTGAAACACACATGCAGTAAGACTTCTGCTGGATTCCCCCCCTTTCTTAAAGAAAAGAAAAAAAAAGAAAAAGTGCTAACCTGAAAGTCTTTTGTGACTCCTGGAGGGAGTCTTAGTTCCATTCTGTTGCTTCTTCTCCAACGGTGACACTGATGGCAAAGCTGGGAGAGCAACAGCTCGGTGAGAAGGTGAGGGTGACAGGGAGGATTTCCGATCCAGCGGGGAGGGAGACGGCGTTGACGCCGCCCTTCTGTCCAGCGGGGAGCGAGCTGGACTGGGCCGCTTATCTAGAGAAGATGGAGGCGTGATGGATCGCGGCGTGGATGGTCCGCTGCTGCCACGACCATTTGTGAGCTTTTCGCTCGATCGCTGGGAGGCCTGGGTAGTGAGGGATGAAGGCTTATGCGAGGAAGGGGAGGAAGAGGAAGAGGTGAGGCGCACGTGTGTCGCTGAGTCGCCTCGGCTTAGGCAGGGCATCTTCTCCAGGCTTACGACTGGCAGCGACACGCTGGAGAATAGTGGGAAGAGAGTTGCAGACTTTTTTTTGCAATTAATGAATAAAATGTGGGATTTTATCGGACTTAGTAACAATGTTATCGTATTGTGCACGCACCAGGTCTTGTTCCGCGCCCCCTTGGGCGGGTACACAGCAAGTGGAGCCTTGCTGAAGCGGGAGTGAGGGTAATCTTTAGGTATCCTGAACGCCAGTGTCTCCCCAGGACTGGGAGCCACAGCGGGAGGCACTGTGGATGCTTTGGGCTTCATGGCCAAAAAAGGACTCCTGGAGGGGACTGGGGAGCTGTGCTGCTTCTCTAAAACAGATCAAGCCCAAAAGAAAGAAAGAAAGAAAAAAGCTCTTATTCATGCATGACAAAAATATGAATAATAAAAATAATCATAAACACATTATGACAATCAAGACAGACCAACAAGAGCATGCACTGCTAGTGTGACTTGCCTTCAATTAGCACCGAGTCTTTTTAAACCAACTCTACTCTGCTTAGTTGCCAGATGGCTATGTTGTAACACAGGGGAGAGCAAATCTGTGGCTGAACTTCTCCACAAAAAGAAATTTCCAATCAACTAAGGATGCTTTTCTCTAATTAGCAGTATGCCTGACACCATCTGAAGTGTCCTTTTCGTGATGACCCCCGACCCCCCCACACCCCACCACAAGAGCCAACAATTACAATATTTTTGACCCAGATCTGATCAGAATACACGAGTTGGAAAAAAGTAAGATGCTGAGAACACAGAAGGAAACATAGACGGGAGTAAATCACAAAGCAGCAGGGAGGAAACACGGAGGAGAGGAGAGGAGAGGAGCTCACACTTACGGTTTTTGCTATGCATGTCTTTGTGGGATCAGGGTGGGTGGGGGAGTGGGGGTGTGTGGTCCAGGACTGTCTCTGTGTCTGTCTCACAGGGAAACTATACCCCAGCTACCTGAATGAAAACAGAGGATTGAATATATCGTGAGCACTGAGCACAAGGCAGGGAAAAGACAGAAACAGTAAAACAGCGCTTTGGATAGCTAGTAGAGTATACAAATTAGGTGGAATGCCATCCTCTTTTTCTGTTTCCCTTAAGGCACGTCAGTTCTACAAGTGAGCTAACTAAAGTTAACCAACATCTGCAAGACTTCGCTCAAAGATAAGCTGGAGAAAAGCTGATGTTAATTTTGGGATGACAATAGTTTGAGATCCCATCACTGGCAGGCTTTACTGTGACTTGACTCATTACCTTCTGCTTATCAAAAATGAACACTAGCATTGTTAAACAGCTGAAACTACACCTGTTCATACGCATTTGCAAACACTACTGTGCAGAGGCACGGATGTGGAGGCAAATATAAAGTTTTCAAAAGTCAGGCATCCGCGAAATATTTTATCATTACTTTGTGAGAGCATAATTTGCATGTGTGGGTGTGTGTGCGTGTGGCAGGTGTGTAAATAAGCCAGTGGAGGCAGACCGCCACAGAGGCAGCTGTCTTCAGAGTACTAGGATCAAAGTCCAGCGACACATTCACAGGTATGCACCTACAACAGTGCAAACTTTGCACATTAAATCTCTCATTATTTTACATTATATTAAGCAGTTAACTCCACTGTACGGTTCGATGAGGTTGCGCTGCAGAAATAGATGGGGAAAAATTGTGTCTAATTCAGGGTTATTCTCTGATTTAGGCATTGTATTATTTTCCCAGGAATGAAAAAGGTAAAAGAAATCTGAAGAAATATGATATCAGATTTCTTGTGATTATTCAGCCAAGCCACACACCCCCAATACTCTGTGATTCGACTGGTTTATACGATGTGTATACTATATTTTATTTGCTTTATTATACAAATAGCTTTTGCTCATGATAAGACAACAAAATAACCTGATATAGAACTTAAAAATAATTCTTAACAAAATGTTGCAAGACTTTTAAAATCTTTTATAGCTGTATGTGACATAATGATCAACTTTTCCCTCCCCAGAACAGCCTCAGATATATATTTTATATCTTATATATCAGAACTCATCCAGGGAGTAAGGAGTCAGTTAGGAGTTAATAACACTAAGTTACCGTACAATACATGGGCGAGTGCTCAGGCAAGGTCACTAAGCCACTCGACCACAAGGGCACCCTCCCTACTACACTCTCAACCTGCTGGTTGTTATGGCAATGCAGAGAGCCCCAACGGCTGCTGATAGGCTCTTGACTCATCCTGTGGGAGGAGCCAGCTGATGATGAGGAAATACAAGTTCTCAGAGCTCAGCTGGGTTTGTTTACACTGACAGAGGAGCAGGGAATAGAAGTAGAGAGAGGGATGGCATGAGAAAAATCTGAAATACAGATGAAGATTCTCAGAGTGTGCTGGAGTCAAAGGCAGTGGACTTGGAATTTTAAAAAGAGCAAGTTGTTTGGGATAAACAGTGAATTTAAAAAAAGGCATTATGGATGTATACAGAGCATGTTTCCAAAAATACCCCTACTGAAGAAGTTCCCAGGAATACGGACAGACTGACATACTGAAGAAACACTTCCTTTTTTTTAAAGGATATTTTTAAAATATTTCATCTACCAGAGGCTGAACTTGCATGGTTTCAAACATATCACAATCACAAGCAGTAAGCATGATCACTTTCTGTATCTACAGATATGTATATAGAAAAACTCTTCACTGTTGAGAAAAGTCTCTGTTAGCATCTGAGATGATGTTAAAAAAATATATCAAAGCCATGTCCTTCTCTTCTCTAAAGTGCAGACAAAAAAAAAAAATTTAAATGTGAAGACACTTCCTCAGATGTACACTATCAGTTGGCATTTTAATTGGCCCATACCTCAGCTAACAGCATGCATACAGCCAAGCCACAATAACAATACCACAACTGTGGCGTGAACGAAACTCAACAGAAATTCTGTGGTTAAGGGCAAAACTTTCCAACATCAGCCAAATAACATGTGCGCCACAGCCCGAGAATACACATTTTAACAACAACAACGTCAAACACAGAAGCAGCCAAAACACTTGTTAAAGGTAGAAATGGTTGTGATCTGCTGCTCAATTAATTCCCCACTACAGAGAAAAGTTGGAAAGCGAGTAAAGCAACCAACAGAAACAACATGAACCTTTTCATCATGCACTCAACTCACTCAGACACACAAAAGCACACACAGCAGGGCACAAGCAGGAGCAAGGTTAGAATACAGACGCTCAGAAGAGTGAAGAGAGGAAACGGTAGGAAATGAGCATTAAAAGAAATATCTGAACATACTGTGGAGACCTGATTTATTTAGGGACGTGGCTTCAAAAGCACAGCTCATTTGTTACTAAAGTAGTTGTGACTCTTGCATTTTGTAGTTTCGAATGCTTTTCAAGACTCAGAGGTGCAAATTAAATGCTGTTAGAAACACTATACAACTATAATTACCATAATATAAGTCATCAATCAGCTAATGACAGTGGCATTACTGGCAGGGCATACCAGAGACAACAAATAATCTAGCCCAGACTTACTTCCTGTTCCACGTGGAGGTTATTGCTTAGAGCCAAACTATGAATGCAGATAAACAATCAGATAACGCCATTATTTTCCCACCCATGTGTTTCCTTTTTGCTGTTCACGTGCACTTTTATCGGCACGCGATCAAAGATAATCAAGCGTCGTTGCCAAAATATCGTCCATTGCCCAAAGACACTGTAGAGATAACATTTATAAGATTATAAGACTAAAGTTATGAAATCATACTTTTTTCATTGGGAAGGGTTCATATGAACATCGTGATCTGGTTATGAAAAGCTTTAAGATTCACTCACAAGCATTAAATGTTGTTTCCTTGCACATTTTTGTCTTTACAAACTCACTGGAGCGAACATGCTGCTAACACTGCCAGAGTAAGGGATTTAGCTGATATCCCACTGGGCCATTTATGCTAAGAATATACATGCTTGCTTTACTCTAAGGAGATTTAAATAAACAAATCCACTAAACAGAGCAAGCCTCTGATGTATAAAAGAAAGTATATGTTAACCTTTTAGCACACAAGACTCTGCATATATTTAAATGCATTCAGTGTGCGTTCTAGCTTTAAGTTATCTCTTCAAACACATCAGAAATGAGCAGCAAACTGGGCATGTATAACTAGGAGCCACTGACCCCTGAGGCAGCCAATCCCCTCCTCGTTCTCTGTGCATGAGTGTGTGTGTGCACGTGCATGCATTTCGGTTTATGTAAGGCCTTAGTGCCGTTTTGATATACAGGTCAAGCATGAAAGTTAATCCCACGATGGATACACACAAAATCAAATACAAGGCAACTGCGATGACTAAAAAAGATACTACTACAGGGTCAAAACATTTAAAGCAGAATCCCCGGCAGGGAACAATGGCACTGTGCTTGTGAGGATGCTGCAGTGACATGATTAGGATCTACAACAATGGGAGGAAATGCATAAAATATCATAAGAATATCCTGACAGCGTGAGCTCCTAGAGGCAATCTACTCAACAGAGGTCAGGAAGAGGATTTTTCACGCCATGACACACAGCGGTTGTGTATATAAAGCTTATTTAGGTATGCAGCAAGCGACTCAACTACAGTAACTGAACTGGAAGACTTATAGGTCACTGCAAAACTAAAAATAAAAGTACATGATGAAATCCACACTGAATTCCTCAAAAACCAGAGTCTCCAACTAGTCAGTATGTGAACTGCCCTGCTGGTCTGCTTGGTGCCTGACTATTATGGTATTGTGGCCTGGAGGATCACTTTGTTTTATAGGGGAGCTCTCAGGAGATTCCCACTCTCGACTGTGTGTTGTGTTTTTGTGTGTGTGCATGAGTGTGCTTCAGACCTGTTGTCACCCGACCGTGTGTGTGTCAGCAAGTAGAAATGCTGCCAATGAGAGAGAGGAGGGGGCCTGCAGGGGGCAGGAGCAGGGACAAAACAACACTGGCTGCCAGGAGTCTGTGAGAGAGTGTGTGCATGTGTGTCTCACAATACCACTGACCTCTTTCTGCTGAGAACCAGAAAGTGAGAATGCGTGTGTGCATGAAACTTCACAGGCCTCTCTACTCATAGGAAGAAATAAGTGTGTTAGTGTATGTGTGTGTATATTAAGTGTGACCATGCCCCCCCCCACACACACACACTTTTCGCACAAACAGAAAGCTCAGGCTAGAAGGAAGCAGCAGCTCACGGGCAGATGTGAGCGAGCTCAGTAGAGCCACAATCAAAAACAAACAAGAGGTAGTTGGACATTGTGAGGGGCCAATGAGGTCTGAACAAACAAGAATGTTTTAAAAAAAAATAGACTAACAATTATTTTCAATTTGTTAGTTTCAACAGTTAATTTACTATGCAAATTCCTGTCAGTGTTCTGCTACTGGAAACTGAATTACCCGGAGGAACCTACTGGGGGATTAATAAAGTTCTATCTATCTATCTAATTTAATAAATATAACAACAACAACTGAGCAACTTTGTGAGCTACTCTCATTGGGCTGCAGTCTCCATAGCGACCACATGCTATGGTCGCATGCTTCCTGCCTGTGCAAGACGCATATGCAGCTTAGCACAGTATATACGTCATGTTGCTATGATACATATGATGTATGCATCATGGTCTGGATCCAGACACTCACTTCATGTAAGATATGGAGGTATTTTTGAGCCTCATGTAGTCTTGAAGTACTATTGTTTTAACAGTGGAGATGTCCATTAAATCTTTTGTGCATGTGCCTATTGTTTTAGATAAAAATGCATCTACACAGTTTCTGTAAATAATTTAGTGTATCATAGCTTTGATCCATCTGCCGAGTGTTAGAGGGCAAAACTGTATGATGTCTATTTGCACAGAGGGAAAGTAGCAGGGAGGTCATGTTTGAAAGTGCCTTGCAGGGATTCACAGAATTTACTTATTGATCTAAACCGCTCTGTGTGCGTGTCCATGTATGCATACGTTTGTTTCGGGCTTCTTGTGGGACAACACCATACTCCCAAGCGTGTGCGTGCAACTTAGTCAAGTGTATGATTATGCCCTGAAGTTTTATGTCCGTGTAGTTTGCCTTAAGGGGTTTGTGTATGTGTGTGGCTTACCATAGTGTGTGAGAATGCCCTGAGGAGTGACCACCTTACTGCAGACATGGCAGACAACAAGAGAAAAATCCTCCAGTGCTGGGAACTGGCTGTAGACAAGCATCTCTGAAAGAGACAGGAAGAGTAGGTGCCACAATTATAGAATGACAGAAGCAGGCAGAGGGAACAGACGCATAGACAGCAACTGAATAAGACATATTTTGGCAGAACAGGGATGTATATAAAAATAATAAACATAAAGTCAGGATTGTTACACGCAGGATATTTAGAGACACTTGAGCTGAACAATCACTTGTCATCAGCTTCATCTTAACAGAAACCTCAAACACAAACCTCCCATTGCCTGGCACATTCCAATCCAATGGAAAGAGTAGAAGTCTCATGCCTTCTACAGGTCAGTCATCATGACTATTGGCTAATAATGGGAATACCTTTACAATTTATATTAAATAGTAAAAAAAAATAAAAATAAAATAAAAAATCACAATTTCAAAAGCCACAAGACAAAAAGGAACAAATCTTTACAATTTATTTTATTTTATTTGTTAGGAAAAAAACCCTAGTTTGATTAATTAAATGTCAAATGTTTATGTACACATTTAGTGATATTGTGTTTAATATCATCTTTAGACTTCAATACTATATGAGGCTTTAAAATATGCATCTTCGGACCAAATACTAATTATCTTTTTTTTTTTTACTACCAAACCAACAATCTACCACAGGCACATGGATAATTAGTGTCTTTTCTCATTACTACACAGACAGACCTTCAAACACACTAGCTAGAACAAAACACTGTAGGTTACACCCCACCCACTCAGGGAAAGTTGAAGATTAAATTAAATATTGAGAATCCCTCTCCCCCATATATGTCCAATGGAAAACATCTATTATCTCTTCTGGCTAAGCTTTGAGAAGCTAATCTATCTGTACCTAAAAAAGCTCCGCTGTCAGAAATCAGAGCTTTTTATTAGCAAGGGGCTTAAGCCAGAATCACTCAGCAGAGGTTGGATGTATGTATGTGCATGTGTGTGTTTGTGTAAGGTTGCAAAGGAAAAAAAAATATAATAATAATAATATAATATATATATTTTTTAAAAGTGGGGGTGTCTGACAGTGACTGTCGTCAAGATCTTACATTGCTAGCAAGTTTGTTGTCATCTAGAAAAGCACAGACAAGATGTCATGCTTAATACTAGGGGTGGGTTTTGATGATTGATTTATCGATTAAAATCGATTCTCGCTTGGATAACGTGATATCGATTCATTAAAATCCTGAATCGATTTTTAAATATAAATTTCTTTTGCCCGAAATGCCAGAATCTCAGGTTAAACCTCACAAAATTTCAACAACCACCAAACAGCTAAAACAGTCATTGAGTACACGCATTCTGCACAAAGACGTAAACACAAAGCGTGGACCCGCCGAAACATCAGAATCAGTGAGATGTCGCCTTTCTCACCTGATGGCACAGACACGGACACGAGCTGAGAGCCGACAGCTCGCTGATTCTGATGTTTCGGCGGGTCCGCTGTTTACGCCCTTTTTGCGCTGATTCTGAAGCTGCAGGTTTTATCTCTCTCCAAACAATATTGACTAAACCAGCAGCAAAAGAAGCAGCAAACTACACTTCACATAAACATCGTCATGAATTCCCTCTTACCTTTGCTGTTTTGCTGCCACCACGATAAAAATCACACTACATGCACAGCTCTCTCTCTCGCTCTCTCTCAGTGTACTTCAAGAACAGTTTCCCGTCTAATAATCTTTTTTCTGCATTATTCGCTTGCTTGTTACGCACAACTCCGTTCTTACAGCGCTGTCGGACGCTGTTTTTTTCCTTTTACTTGCTTCCGAAAAGAAAGCCTCATGTCTGCCGTTCAATACGCTACTGAACAAGTTTAAACTTTTTAAAATTATGCAAAATTGCAAAACGCTTAGCTATGTCTGTAATAAAACCTCTGTAACGTTGCTCTGCTTCACTTCAGCAGCATCAGGTAATGTTCATATGTTCATTAATAGTTTTCTTTCGTTTTCGATCTACTACAGAATATTTTTATAAAATCGCAGGCCAGGAAAATCACCTTCATGTTTTTCTGTGTTTTATCCTCAGCTACTTTGACACAAAGGCATCTGCTGTGATGCTTACACCTTTGATAATGTGTCAGCTTTCTTTTTATAGATATAAAAATATAGAAATGTACTGATGCATGAGCTGAATTATAATATTTCTGACTGTCTGAGGCAAAATTTCCCCGATTCAAACTGAATCGAATGAAATCAAATCAAATCGAATCGAATCAAATTGAATCGTGGATCGAATCGATTCTAGAAATGAGTGACGATACCCAGCCCTACTTAATACATATCAGAGTGTGTGTGTGTGTGTGTGTGCGAGAGACGTATAAAAGACAAGGTTATTTAAGGTCACGGAAGGCCATATTATACACTATATGTTATGTGCAGGTGGTGCATGTGGGTTTCATTGCTGGCTAGTGTCACATTCTTCCTCGCCCTGAATGTTGCAATTATATTATTATGTTAAACATATACATGCATTTTTGCTTAAAGAGTCTCTGATGAACTTTGTTACTACCAGATGACACGTACAGGCTATGCTAACCACAGGCCTCTAGCAGGCCTGTGCTTCCTTTAACCGGTTTGCACTTGTTTGGTTTCAGAATCGTGCCAGTCGTTTTAAGATAAGATAAGATAAAGTCCCACACATGAGACATTTTTTGGTCATGGCAGAAAGTACAAGTTAAGAGCAGTAAAAATTAAAGAAAAAAGAAAAAAAAAACAATAGAATAGAATAAGACAAGATAGAATAAAATACTATATAAAATAGAATAAAATACTTTGTTATATTGGGAAATTGCACTTGATACTATTACACATCAGGGAGACAGGGAAAGTTATCACTGTGTAGATATGTCTGTGAAGGTTCATTGTGTAGAGTTTGTGTTTAGAACCTACTGTCGCTCAGTTAAGACTATACTTTTAAGCACAGACTCGCACACAAAGGAGGAGCTTATGTTTAATTCAGCAAGACAAAACCTCAAGAGACAAATGAGCTCGGGCTAATGGTGGTTCAAACATGGAACGCACATTACAGAACTAATGGGCCAGGCTAGTCTTTGTTGGATACAGGCTATATGCTACAGTTGATAAGAAAAAATAATTCAACTCTGCAGCCTAAAAATTAGAGCTTGAAGCAGTACTCACTTTATTTTAAATGTTAGCAGCAGCAAAAATCTTTGTACACAGTGCACAAATCCCCTGGCACTATTGTATATAATCACTCCTATACCGATACCAATGCAGATGTTTGAATACCCAATACTGATAACCAATAGATTTTTTTATTTATTCTTATTGTTATTTATACCCTGCTTTAGCTCTCCAACACACAATGCTTGAACATTTATCCCACAGATAATTAATGCAAATTACATCTAGGACACATATATTACTGACTGATGCGAAACCTTTGTGACCTTTCCAGTTTGGCTTATCTATTTGTGGTTAAGTCAGTTCGCAAATGATGTGGTGTCTTTATTTCCGAGGTGAAACGCCAGTAAATGTGAAAAAAAGTTACACGGGGCCCAGACTCATGTTGCTCAGTAATACACAGCAAAACAAAAGCATGGCTATTGCTATTAGGGTCTGAGACTGAAAAATACTATGCTCAGAAATGAACTCCCCAGAACATGTCAGCCAAGCCTCATTTAAAAACTTGTTTGACATTAATAAAAACAATTTAGTTCCATTACCGAAGCCCAAAAAAACTAAAAAGATTTTTAGAGTCACTTTTGGCTTGAGTATGACTTTTCATTCTGTCATTTGTGGTGCAGAACATGTTACTCTGGTGACTGACGGTGCCTCTGTGCATTTGCATAAAAGGTCATTACTCAATAGGTTAACATACAACATACTGAGGCTGTCATTAAGTGATTACTTCAGAGTAATCACTTAGTGCTTGAAATGCTTAATAGTCACTGGGAAGCATATTTGGTGATAAAGCAGAATGAAAGCTAGGATATTGTACTATTAAGCAAATAAAACTGACCATAAATTCCAAGCAATGTCTATTCAATCTGATGAGCACTGCAATGGAAAACAGCTCCACATCTGTTGCTCAACAGTTGCAGTAAAGTAGTCGGCAGATGCTTTGAACAAGCCCATCTGGAAGAGGAGAATATTTCCCACACACAAATCGAACCATTGCTCTTGGATTTAGGCCACAATTCAAACTCCCTTCTTTAATGTTTGACAAACAAAGAACTCCATTTCATTCACCAACAAATAAATTATACTGTTTGCTTTTTCAAAGAATTGCTTGATTGATACCACAGTATGTTAACAGGCCAGCGGTTCTGTGTGGAAAAGCAACCTTTAAATAATGTGAGTGCTGTCAACACATTGATACGAGGTAAAAATGTAATATAAGCAACTGAAGTGAAGCGTTTTTTGTTTACAAGTTGATCAGCACAGTTCGTGTCTTTCCTGTGATCGTTTTCGGAGGAAATGAGCACACGTATCATATTAGGAAACTTTTGCCAAGACAACGTAAAACTATGACTCGATTTTTGTTTTCTGGCATTTCGCAAATTCCAATGTATAGAGCAACATCAAAAAACAGAGCACTTTAAAAAAAGAAAACAACAACAAAAAGGAAGTAATTCCCTCTGCAACTGCCAAGTCAAATGCAAACTAAGTGCATATTTCTTCAGTCTGAATTATGTCTGTGTGAGTGTGTGTCTCGAGCCAACTGCCACAGTCTGCCAAATGACTGACAGGCCAAAAAAGCAGACTCCAAAAACATCACTCAGTAGTGAATGAGTATGTTTCGCGCAACTGAAGTGATCCATCATTAGTCAGTGATCAGTAAAGCTAATCAGTTTACTATTGCAAAATGAGTGTATGGAAAGAATCCTACACAATATTCATTTAAAAAAATCAAAAACAAAACAAAAGTGGTTACTAAGGAAAGGTTGGTTGACTAACAAAGTATTAAGGCAACTGTAACAAGCAGCAACTCTGCTCTGTGGATAAATCAATTAACTTATCTCTGGATCGCGTTTCCATTTTGCACCATTACCATTCCAGAGGCGGCAATGTGCGAGATTGACAAATTCAGCTTAAGTTGTTCTGTGAACAGCCTCACCAGATAATTATTGCTCCGGCACCAAAAGCTCTGATAGTATAAACAAACTGACTAGCGTTGGCAGGCAGCTAATGTTGCAGAACTTAGTCTGCACACACGCACACCCGTACAGCCAAATTCACCTCTTTTAAAAATGTCCCAGATACAAAGTTCAACATGCTGGTTAAACATTTGATTGGTGCCAACAATAAAACTGTAAAGACATAATGTCACGAAAAGTGTTTACAAATGAGCTGTGGAAAGGTTAAGTAGTAGTTTTAAACATTTTATGATTGCAACGCTGCTGAAAGCCACTTCTACCTAACGGTACAGTTTAATTCAGACCATTCCTTTCGAAATTATGTGAACATTAAAAAAAAGTCTGGTTTAATGTAAGAGTAGGGTTGATGGTTTTACTAGAAAATCAATGTTGTCAGAGTGTATTTACAATTTATCATCCAGACTAAAACTTTAACATTTTCTAATAAAGAACAGAGGAATCAAAGTTTTTCACTTGTTTCTTTTGTGCTTACAGACTTTCATTTTGATGATGCTTCTAATCCATGGTGTTTTTTAAAGGTTATATCTCAATCTCAAGGTTAATTTTTATAGTTAATCAATGATTTATTTTCACAGTTTTCCTCTGAAATTATTAAAACCTTTATTTCTGGTTAAATATAGACTTTTTAATATTTTTGTCTTTATAAATAACATTTGCAAGCATATTTGAGCATACATCGTGTCTGTGCAATCCGGGTATGACAGGATAATAGTCCAAGGAGCTATCATTCAGTTTTGCAAAACTTTTACCACTCAACTAGCTTATACCCTACTTCTATGGCCTTATCAAACCATTTCGCACAAACTAACAACTTCCTGTCTCGGTTTCACAGCCAGTGCTCTTTTAAGGTAAATAAAGGTTCCCTTAAAGGGAATATGTAGTTTCCAGGCACCTCTTTAGTGTGCCTGGCACCAAGTAACCATTTCCTTCAACCATCTGCACTTGGGCTGAGACCTGCTGGCATCCCCAGTTCAGATGAAGCCATAAAACAGGCAGCTAAGTATCGAAGTCTCTTACTATAATACACAAAATCTCTGTCTGGTTTTTGTCTGCAAGACACATATCCAAGAATTGAGCAATCCAGCTTTTTAATACAAGTACATCCCAGGCCTGAAACTTCTCATCTATATTAGACAATATGGCGTCATCACGATCCTAAAATGACCTATTTGTAGTGTTTATGCACTTATAAGACCTTGTAATACTATCACAACAGTAACATCTAATTCAGCAAATATTGATTTTTTTGATTGTTAGCTTTACAGTATCAGTATTACTATACATCATTAGGCATGACAGCTTCTGAAGTAAAAGTTACAATAAAAGTTACATAAATAAAAACAAATGAATTTAAGGTAAAAGGGATTCTAAGGCATGAGAATCAGTCTAGCCCACAAAAATTAAAATAAATAAATAAATAAAGTAAATTAAAAAAAGAGACCTTTTTAACCAATATTTCATTATATGCTTTTTTCTCAGGCTCATGTTATTGACATTTATTACTAAAAATTAAACAATGGAAATATAAAGCCATAATGAAAAAGGACAAGCAGACCAAATAATGCAGTAGTGTGGGTATGTACTAGTTTATTTCTTTAGTCTCACTGCTTGGTAGGTTTTGTTTGCTTCACAAGTGACCCCTTCACCCATTTATTAACCTCTTTGCAGGTGTTTAGAAACTGAGTGACTGGACTGAGTTTCTCTTGTACAAAAGGTTTTTTGTTTCCGTTTTATGAACTAAATTCTGAAATTCGTGCACGGCTGTCAGAAACTCCAGCGGCACACTTCGACATGACTCATGGCACACCACTGAGCCTTGCAACAGCACATCTGGAAACAACTGTTCTTAAACTGTGACTTACCAAACTTAACTTAAAAGTTTCAAACATCAGAGGAAGCGCCACAGACAATGCACAGTATTTTACCATAGCTTATACAATATCATAAGTCACCCTGTAGGTGAGAATGCTGCAAACAGTGTTCCCATTCCAGGTAGGTTTGGTGAGGGACAATTGTTAAAGCATGCTTACAGAGATGCTAAATCATAATACAGTGTAATCAATCATTTTTTATAGCAATGAATACAGTCAAAGAACACCTACATTCACTAAATTGTCACCCAAAGCATTGCCATAATAATGTCATGTTTTAGGCGAATCCCATTTCAAATAAAGTGAGTAGTAAACTGCTATTTCAAGATGAAGGACAGCAGAGGCTGCTGGACTAATAAAACTAAGCTGATTTTGGGTTGGCATTAACTCCACTGCACACAGGGAGTGAAAGAGAGACAAAAGAGACAACCATAATGACCTGCACCACACATCAGTCACTGCCAAACTGGCCTCCGTATTTAGAAATGTGCACACATGCAGATGAAGTCAAGTGGGTTAACACATAATATATGAATCAATGATGAATCACTTAGTAGTTGATGCAAATTCACAAATAAAACATTAAAGCAATGTTTCCCTGTGTTTGTGAGGCTCGTGAGACTTGTGAGGCTCGTGAGCGTGTGTCTGCATATCACTCTCAGCAGCACTCAGTGTCATGTTGCCAACAGACCAGCAATTCTGGAAACACCGCTCTAGTCTGGCTCTGAGAGAGGGGAAGAGGAGGCATGTGAGAGTGTGTTTGATAGAGTGTGTGTGTGTGTGTGTGTATGTGGGAGGGGGCTTTTGGTATTTGACCAGTGAGACTGAGAAGAGTTTCCCCGGCTCTGCATGTGCGTCAGTGTGCTCCTACGAGGGCTACAGCACGCTTAACCTCTCAGGGATGACTCAACTGTGTTAGTGTGCAGCGCGTGCTCCCGTGGGTATTTATACATAGTGAGGTGTGAAGGAAGCCCTTTGGCTCTGTCCCTAAGGAGGGTAGCAGGGAGGCACATACTGCTTGCTCAGGGGCACGCTCTTCACATGCACAAAACTGACGGCTGCACACAAGCTAAGCCAATTTAACAGATTACGAGCCACTGATTGAAATAATCAACCTCCAACACATAGATACAAATACAACAAATAATAGCCCATCACATTCAAGCATAGTTGTTTGCTGTTGATGGTTTAGGCCGTGTAAATATGTGACACAGGAAGCAAAAAATATTGCTCCTATAATTTGCTATAGCTTTGCGAAGACTCTATAGATCACTTAGCAGTTTTTCAATTATATACCTTCCATAATGTTTCAATTAAAAGCTCTACAAAGACATCATCAATGCAGTCTCTTCTTTTGCCTTGTTTGGGGTAAGAATATCTGATGATGGAAGATCCAGAACAATATAGGGAATTAAATGGAATCTACTACTTTAATGATTTCACAATTTTAGTCTATTTCAAAGTTAAAAATCGAACAAATGTGTTTATAGCTTCTCAAATCTGCAGATTTAAGCCTTTTCTTGTATTATATGCAAGTAAACAAGACTCCCCTTGCTTCTAAACTATATGTCAGTTTCAGTTAAATATCTAAATATATCTTCTTGGTCTCTAATAAATTTGTGTCGGTATTTTTTCACAATTCGAACCTTTTATTTTGAAGCGATTAATCGATCAAAGTAGAGAAAAAAATCATTTTCAGTCCCAGATTACTGTAAAACACACCTGCAATCAGAAAAACACACACACGACCTGTAAATATAAAGTACAGCAGCAGCCATGCAAGATAAATAAGATTTCTGAGAGAAGTGGTCAAAGATGGCACCATTAATGCTCCACAGCATGTGCAACAAAACAATAACAAACCACCACCGTATCTAGTAGTCTAACTTCCCTTACCTTCTCTGCGGAGCTTCACGGCTTCACCAAGGCAGTAAAGCTCTTTCTCGCTGTTATCCAAGGACGGGTCTGCGTCTGAACAAACAAAACAAGCACTTAGAAACACGCAGGGGCTTTCAGGAAACTTTGGGGGGCCCATGCGTGGAGCCCTACTGCCGCTCCTCCTGCTCCGGGGCTGGCTACCACCAGAGGCTAGCATTAGCTTGCTAGCGCCTACGCTGGCTTCCTAAATCAAGTGGAGCTGTCAAAGCTAACAAACTTACAGCTGGACAGTTGGGGGATAGCATTACTGCACGCGACAACGACACAAACTCCGAGCGGTAACCGATAGCTTTGCTCGCGCGCATTTGTGCACGACTGTTAAAGCAACACATCAATATTGCATTTTGTAGTAATATTATGACAGTTACTTTGCTGCGCTCTGACAGACACCCTGCATGGTGGAGGAGCTTACTCAACTCAATCACAGACAGTTGGACCACGCACTTCCCGACAGTTTGTCCGCAAAAATAACAACGCTACCCGTCGTGCGAACTTACAGTCAACAAAACGTAATTTAGCCGCACTGACGAAGGAAGACCAAGGCTCGCAAAGGAATGTATCCGGACTTGGTATTTGGCGATCCAGTGTCGCCATTGCTCTTCCTTCTTGTTGCTTTGCTGAGAGCCGTTTTTTTCTGCCTCTCCTTCGCACGCAGCAGGCGAAAAACGAAAGAACGAGATATGCTGACGTCGTTCTCGTCAGGCTTCGGCGTTGTCCGGCAACTATCGGCGGGGGCGGTTGAGGGGCTGAAAGACAGGTACAGTATGGTTATTCACGAGTTCAAAAGTTCAGCGTAGTTCAGGTAAAGCCAAAAACCCATCATCACCATTTCCATAATTTAAAGATTACACTAGGCTGCGTTATAAATAAATAAATGCCTTTTTTTAAAAAGCATTTTTCCAATAGCACGTTTTAGTAATATTTGCGCTTCAAAAAGCTAAGAAAAACTATCTTCATGGGGGAAAATATTAGAAATTACCTCGATGTATTCAGCCAATACTGCTAAATTTAAAAATCTATATTTTTAAAGTCCACCTGTCTCTCTACAGTGTTGTGAAAAGTACTCATTATGTCTGAGGTTGTCACGTTTACATGTTTCAGACAATCAAACTAATTTAATATCAGACAATTTTTGAATATTGATATCATTTATTACAGCAGAAAAGCTATATACACAATTATTATTCAACAATTAGAAATAGACTGGGCAAAAATGACATCATGGGAGAGTTCCAAGGAGAAAACAACTGCTGAGCAAGAAGAACACAAAAAACTCTTGATGATCCCCAAGACAGCATTTCATAAAAATAACATCTCACCAAAAGGCAAAAATGGTGTTGGCAGTGTGATGGAAGTTTTTGGAGTCAAAAGTCGATTAAAATGCAGATATAAATGCTTTTCTGTGACCTTAAACAAGCTGTCCAAGTCTCATTGGCAGTTATCACAAATACTTGACTGGAGTACTTGCTGCCATGGGTGGCACAACCAGTTATTAGGTTTATGGGCCAATTACGTTTTCACTCAGGGCCTAGTAGGTTTGGATTAAAAGCTGAATTTTACTCAGGTTATCTTTGTCTAATATTACGATGATGTCTGGGGAAAGATCCTTGGTCTTAGTTTATTGGAGGGACAGCTCAGGTTGAGTGGTTTGGGGACAAAGTTAGGGAGGCAAGTTGAAATGGTTTGGAGATGTCGAGAGGAGGGGTGGTGGATATATTCATATATTCAGCCAAGGATGTTGAATATGGAGCTGAAAGGCAGATGGAAAAGAGGAAGACCTCAGAAAAGATTCATACGAGAAGAGGATGCTAGGGATAGGGCCAGATGGAGGAAGATGATCTGCTGCTATGGTGAACCCTGAAGTGAGCAACCAAAAGAAGAAGAAGAAGAAATCTTTTTATGTTTTATCTCCATTCATTATTTATCCTCATCTTCTCTGAAACACAGTGAACATGTCAGGAACCTTGGCATTAATTCTGGACATTGAATTCAGTTTTGACGATCATATCAATAGGATTGCCACAACTAATGTCTATCACTTAAATCTATATCTATGGTTAAAAAATTCTTACCTCAAACTGACTTTGAGAAATTGCTTTCATATCAAGCAGGTTCAATTATTGTAATGCTCTCTCCAAATCATTCATAGGATGATTTCAGCTCATTCAAAATGAAAAATTTGACCACACTACCCAGTAATCAAGTTACATCATTTATTCCAGTTCAACATAGAGTTCCCTTTGAAATCCTTTGATTAGTTCACAAAGCTCTCAATGCTTTCACCCTCAATTATATACCCGAATTGCTCAAAACACTAATAGCTCAATACAATAGGGTTTTTTTGTTTTATTATATTTTGCTGTTTTTACAGCCTTAAGTCATTGTTTTGATGTTTGATCTTCTGTGTCAAGCAAATTGAGTTAAATGTAATAAAATGACAATGACTGTTTTACTTAAAATGTAAGTAAAATAGTCATTGCCATTACCAGAGTGGGAGGCTTAATCATTAAGTTCTCTTGTACTCTCCTGTTCAGCCAGTTTCACTGAAAGCAAGCATGCACAGCGGGTCTTGTGCAGGTTGAGCTCATGGCATTACAATGACCTCTTGTGGTTGAAAAGAGAAGCTGCATTCACTGTGCAAAGAAGTACCAAACAATGGACTGGTGTACTTTTAAAACATTAATAATATCTTCTGAAGTAAATCATGTTTTTATTTATAAATGATTTTGGATGATCTCAGAGATGAGGTGCTCTTTGTGAGTTTATTTTAAGGTGTATATATAAGGTATATATATATATAGGTTAATTGGATAATCCAAATTGTCACTAGGTGCGAATGAATGTGAGTGCGAATGGTTGTCTGTCCCTGTGTGTTGGCCCTGCGACAGACTGGCGACCTGTCCAGGGTGTACCCCGCCTCTCGCCCTATGACAGCTGGGATAGGCTCCAGCGCCCCCCGCGACCCT